AATATCTTGTATTTCCACCCTTTGCTTTGGTCACAGCTTTCGATATGCTCTGTATACATCATATGCTTTATATCTTCGTTATTTTCCCAAATATCTGTAATTCTTTTCAACTCGGATAATGTGGTTGGAGAGTTGTAAACTAGTCTTTTGAGTAGGCAGACATTTTCTATGGCATTCAAATTTCACCTCTAGCGCTATACTCGAGCCTAACGTAAACGCACGGCCCTTAATCGCTCATCACCCACACAATTTATTATCACGGTAGTAACAAATTGCTATGTATACAGTTATCAACGTATTTAGTAATTTTGCGTGACCCAAGACAATTTTCCATATGTGATCATGTTATAGGCATAAAAGTGAAGTTTTCGTACGTGGTCCTAATTCGATGGCCAGAATTTAGATTATATTCAAGGTTCGGTCCAGGTTACATTTAAAGTTTGTGCTAGGTTACATTCAATGTTAAGTTTATACTAGTTAAAAGATTTAATATTGATTACACTCAAGATTAGATCTAGATTATGTTCATAGTTAAGTCTAGTCTAGATTCAAGATCCAATTAAATCACATTTAAATTTAAGTTTAGGTCAGATTCGATGTTGGGTCTAGGTTAAATTTAAAGTTATAGGTTAGATTCAAGGTTCACTTGCATTTGGTCTAAACTTATATGAGGTTTGTTAATTATACGTTAAATATTCATTATCTTAAGGCAAAGTTTATGTTAAGCTTCGTTTTGGGTTACCATTTTACAAAATCAATTAGTATTCAATAAATATACAAGTACGACTTTCAGTGTTGACATTTATTATGGTTCTCAGAATCTGATTCTCCATTGTTGTTCAGACACAAAAATTAAGTATAGAAAAATGCGAGTAACGATTCAGCTAAACATTCAATCGTACCAATAATTCACAAATCAGTTCGTATTTTCACATGATTCTAAAAATAGACGTTTGGTAGAAGAAAATACAATCGTGTCAGAAAAGACGATCATTGGGTTAAGATGGTCGACACTGACACAAGTATGTCTTATGATAATCGAGAATCGTGAGGTTCTCACTATACTAGTTATAAAGGAACACGTTAATATCGCCAGTGAAATTCACGCGGACTATTTAAAAAGTTACACAGGACTCGATGCAGAAGGCTATATAAGAGTGTTAATCACAGTGAAGAGTTCGTAGGCAAGTATAATTCACTTTGAACTTCAGTTAGATCACGGCGAAATTTCGATGAAATTTTAACTAAATGAAATTGAATAAACGTTAGCCAGCGACCGTACGCACATTCAAAAAATGAAATCATGGCGTCCTGCGAAAGACTGATGAGAGGAAGGGGACGTTTACGCGGCAATGAATTTGCACTTCGACCGTGCGAATATTTATGGCGGCAATTTGGTCGCCGAAATAATATTGACTTACGGCATTTTTAATGAATGCGATCCGAGTACAATATGTGTTTCACCAAATAATAAAACTCACCTAGTTACATTAAAGCGATACAGTACTCCAAAACTACTATACTTTAACAACGTATGACACTTGAACCAATGGATTCCGTCATTCAAAATTATTATACTTTGTCTATATTTATTGAATACTATCAGATTATGCGAAGAAAGTTATAAAAGAAACGGTGCCACAAGACGAAGTTTATTTGAGATTTTGGAGCTAGATTAGATTTAGGTTAATTCTACTTTAGGTTCAAGTTAGGTTCAGGTTAGATTCTTATGTGTATTTTAAGCTTCTACGTGACAATATAGAAATATTGACAATATTATATTGACACTGTATATTGATCTTCCGTGGTCCTCGTTAAATTTTCCTCGAAAGTTAGGTTATGTTTGGCTAGAATTACACAGTTACATTAGGATAAGCTTTTACAGCTATGTTTAATTGTACTACATCTCTGTGGCAAGATACGTTAAGCAATGTCGTATTTAGGTTAGGTAAAATTATTTTAGATTAGGTCATGAAACTAATTATTGAAAGAAGTTTCACATATTACTATGGCTAGTTTAGGTTAGAATATTTCATAATGAGAATCTGCAGCTTTCACACAAAATTTCAACTAATAATTTTCCTTCGCCATAAATAAACAACATCTTCATTCCAAAATCTCCAACTAACTTTAATTTTTCAAAATTACAATTTCAAAGGTGTTCCTCTTCCATTTGCTCCCCTAAAAAAATTATACTTTCAAATCTCCATAATAAATTTCCAGAGCAAAATTGCGTTTTGCCACCAGTTTCCGCTTAAACCGCGGACACGGTTGCACCGGGTAGCAGCAGGTCGCGGAATTTTCCAAGAAATTAACGATGGCCCTCGTATCCGAGATCTCGATAAAGCGTCGAAAATGTGAGGGTTTCATGGAAATTCAGCTTCGAAACGGCCGGACGATTTTGGCCACGGTGGTCCTGATCGTAATTCGCATCCTTGGGCTGACCATCGCAGACGTGCGCTCGCGAGGAACATTTGACGAAGCGTGCAGGTCGCGAGAGGAATACCGGCGCCGAACTGATTCCGAATGCAACCCACGATCCACCGACTACTTGTCAAGCAAATTCGCATTACTTCCAGAATTATGGTCGCCCTTGTAGTTACCTGCATACAACACCCGCGGTAATAACTCTTCGCCTCGCGCCGCCTCGCATACTCATCGCGCGGAACGCGAGGGAAGTCGAGCGGAGCCGATAAAACGGAAACGGACGTGATCTTCAACGGGCTTCGTTCGTTTTCCACCGCCGCACTTCGCATTTCGGCGAAGAAACGTTTTAAATCGAACTGGGGCATATTTTGACCCTATCCGCAGGATACTTTGACCCTTTTGACCCAGTTCTTCTGTTTCTGTGGGTAAGGGCGAATGCGGCATATGGTAAGTATGGAAAGTAGGCGAGAAGAGCATTTTGAGAGGTTGAATTTTGTAAATTTTTCAGAATAAGTTTAAATTAATTTGAGGATTGTTTAAAGATTAATTGTAGGTTAGTTAAAGGTAGTTTGAGGTTTAATTAAGAAAAAATGGGGGGTGAGTTAAAGATAACTTGAGAATTGGCTGAGGATCATTTGGGAATGAATTAATAATAATTTGAGGACGATTTGAGGGTGGGTCAAGGATGATTTAAGGATAATTTGAAGATGAGTTAAGGACAGCTTGAGGATTAGCTGAAGATCATTAGGAGATGAGTTAAGGATAACTTGAGGATTAGTTGAGGATCATTTGGAGATGACTTAATGATAATTTGAGGACAATTTGAGGGTGGGTCAAGGACAATTTAAGGATAATTTGAACATGAGTTAAGGATAACTTGAGGATTAGCTGAAGATCATCATGAGATGAGTTATGAATAAATTGAGAGTAATTTGAAGATGAGTTAAGGATAACTTGAGGATTAGTTGAGGATCATTTGGAGATGACTTAATGATAATTTGAGAACAATTTGAGGGTGGGTCAAGGACAATTTAAGGATAATTTGAAGAAGAGTTAAGAATAACTTGAGGATTGGCAGAAGATCATCATGAGATGAATTGTGGATACATTGAGGATAATTTGGGGATGACTTAAGGATAATTTAAACATAACTTGAAAATTAGTTGAGTAAAAGCACCTGAACGAGAACCACTTCGGCGTATCTTCAAAACAAACCTAACCTGATCTAATGTAACCCAGTATAACAATTTCCCAAAAACAACTATGCGAGGAAAGTCCACATCGCCATATATAAACAAGTGTAGTCACAGTACCTAAAGGGTTGAAAAATTCTCTGTCCCGTCGTCGTGCGCATCACTGTGTGCCCTGCCCGGTTATTCCCCCAGCCCATCAAGCCTGCTAATTCCCTAGAGGGCAAACTGAACACGAAGAGCGCAGTTTGTTTCTCGACACTCGACGTTGAAAACGTCGAACGTTTTCCAACAGCGGCGCTAGTCTGCGCGCGGAACGTCGAGGTCACTAAAAAAGCCGTATGCGAAATGAGCTGCCAAGCACCCTCTGGAGGATTCCTTCTATCTATTATACATGACCGCGTACGCCGCTTCCGTTAACTACGTCTCGCGAACAGGAGAGCTTTGCAAACTCCTCACGCTTCTCGTTGTCGTCCTCGTCGTGGCGCACGCACCATGAAGAGAATCAACGAGCTGAGGATGAAAAGGGTGGTGGCTGAGGAAGCGTGCCTCTAAAGTACGGCTGACGCGATAGCGTTAAGCTCTTCCGTATCAGCTGCTTTACGATTCGAAATTTTACCCAGAAAATTAACGTGGACCTTCACGATTAAATGACTATTAATTGCAATTCGTTCCTTGATTAGTTTGTAACATGTTTTAGCGAAATTCTGCAAACCTTTTATGAGGATCTATTTTTGGTCACATCGCTTGAAAGCTAAACTGTGTAAGCTTGTACGTAGCCTTGTAGAAGGTTAAATAATTGAAGATGTGTTATTTAAGACGAGGACTCTTCAGGGTTAACTGACAATTAGTATCATTTTGTTCGTTGGTCACGTTGCAACGTGCTTCATGAGAACTCTGAGGATAACTTTTTATGAGGGTCTTTTTTTAGTCACATCTCCTGAAAGTTAAGCTGTGTAACCTTGTACATAGTCTTGCTGAAGGTTAAACAATATAAGATGTGCCATTTAAGACGAGGACTCTTCAAGGTTAGCTGATAATTATCATTTCATTCGTTGCTCTCGTTGCAAGTGGTTCATGAGAATTCTGAAGATAACCTTTTATGAGGGACTCTTTTTGGACACGTCTCCTGAATGTTAAGCTGTGTAACCTTGTACATAGCCTTGTTGAAGGTTAAACAATTCAAGATGTGTCATTTAAGTCGAGGACTCTTCATGGTTAGCTGACAATTATCATTTCGTTCATTGGTCACGTTGCAAAGCGCTTCATGAGATCTCTGAGGATAACCTTTTATGAGGATCTTTTTTTAGTCACATCTCCTTAAAGTTAAACTGTGTAACCTTGTACATAGCCTTATTGAAGGTTAAATAACTGAAGACGTACCATTTAAGACGTGGACGGAGACCGTGGTAGCAGCCGCCACATCAGGAAGAGCGCAGCTGTAGTTTCCGCTGTCCTTTTTGTTCGCGTTCGCAATGTAGAGCCTGGATATCGCGCCGCTAGCGCCCATGTCCGTCTTCACGCTGGAACAGAAAGCAGAGGGTTCTCTTGTAGAACGGAAGTCGAAAGTGTACTGGCCTTTTAAACGAAAAGTAGACGCTTGATGTCCCGGTGGTTGCATCCCGCTGCTCTTGTGTCAGGGAAGTAGAAAGTAGGAAATGACGAAAGAAGTTTCTGCGTCTTGTACCGGGGATACAAGAAACGTCTTTACATCTATGCGGGACACTTTTCTTAAGCTTTAACCTTCAATTTGATGTGCCACAAGTGGTATTTTGAAGTAATTTTATAGTAAACACCGCGTTGAACGCGAGATAACGTAGGGCGACGGATTTACTGCTTGTGAGGCCGACAAGTAGCCATTTTGTTTTGAGAATATCAACGGTGCATTTATGTAGTTCTTTTGGGTAAGTTTCAAGCTTTACATTGATGTAACATAAGTGGTATTTTATAATACTTTTATGCGATAAAATTGTGTTAGAAGTTGAACAACATAATAGGTACATTTCACTATTCATAGTAATTTGTTAAGACAAATAACTATGTTAGATTGAAAACTTCTATGAATTGTTGCTGTAGGATTTATTAGTAAATTGTAATGTTTATTTTGATATGCTGTAAGTGTAATTTTGAAGCACTTGTATACCATTGCGAAATGCATCATTGTTTTTAATGCCATAATTGTTTGACGATCTATTTTGTATTAAAGATACCGAAGGACTGTTTATACTAGCGTTTTTACGAAGTCATGAGGATCAATTTGATGTGTCATGCTTGACATTTGAAGTATTTTTGTGTCATGAAATTTTATCAGGAATGACAGTTTATCGTCTCTGACTCATTGCTCGTTGAGGCCAGTAACTTACTATGTTGTGTTTGAAACATTAATGACACGCCTATATATTCTTTTTGGGAAAGTCTCAAGCTTCAAATTCATGTAGTATAAGTGCCATTTTATAATACTTTTATGTCATGAAATCATATCAGGAATTATCCAACCTACATTTCATTGTCCATCATAACTGATACGTTACTTGTTAAGGCCATTGTAATTCGAATCCAATTCAAATCTAACCTACATCTAACCACTGCATATAATCCCTCAAATGTCATGGTCTCAATGCGATATCTTGCATCTCGAATGACCCAGTGTCTGAATGTATAAACCATCGTAATAATAAAAATTAAACTATGAATCAAAGTGACTCGGTATCAGCTGTCCAGGTAGTTGTTTCCAGTTAATTCTTCAGGGTGTTTTAAGTCCCGGAAGAGTACCCTAGTCTGCGGCGTAGTTTTCGCGATCATATCACCGAGAACCGGCGTTGAATTCGGAAGTAATTGTTCAACGCTAGAAAGTTAAATTCTCGACGGAGTAAACGATAATGTCGGCCGTTGGCCGCCACGAAGGAACGCTTACATATATTCTCACATTACGCGATTAGGCGACCGTTCTTGGAATTTATTAACCAAAGACCCGGTTGGAAGTGTGATGTAATTACGGTTATCGAAATCGCTGTAAATTAGCGAGTCTACTCCGCCACGATAGAACACGGTCGTTATGATAAGCTCGTTTGTAGGCCACGATTCATTTTTTTTCCGTCGACCGAAACGAGGAGATTATTTGCGGAACTTTTTAAGCTCAGAAATGTGCGAAGTTTAAGAGAGCGAGAATTGCTTAGGTCATCTGTGGAGGCATTTTATCTGACATCTACCGTGTTAAGTTTTTAAACTATTCCGAAACATCGAAATTTATTTTAAGGAATCGATGACAAGTAGCTTAAAATAACATTTGTGATACACGGAATTAAAGTTTGAAGCTTGAAGAATTGCTATGTGGATGCACTATTAGTATCTCGAATATAAAATGCATTGTTAATTACAACAGACAGTGACATCTGCAGTAGTCAGCGATAGATTCTGAAATGTATAAATTCAATCACGATTTCTTGACATAAAAGTATTTCAAAATGACACTTATGGCACGTCAAGTTAAAGCTTAGAGTCTATAGAAAAGTATTACATAAACAGGCATACGATATTCTTAACATAAAACAACTAGCTGTCGGCCTCACCACGAAATGAATCGGCTACCACAAGCTAATTAATCAATGACTGAATTTCTTGATATAAAAGTACTTTAAAATAATACTTATGACACATCAAATTAAAGTTTAAAGTCTGCAGAAAAATACTATATAAACAGTTGAACGATATTCTTAGTGTAAAATGGCTGTGAGCCTCACCACGAAATGAATCAGCTACCACGAGCTAGTTAATCAATGACCGGATTTCTTAACATAAAAGTACTTTAAAATAGTACTAATAGCACATATTGTATGTCAAATTGAAGCTTGAAGTCTACTAAAAGACCTTGTATAAACAGTTCATCGATATTCTTATTGTAAACTGACTGGCTGTTGGCCTCAAACGCAACAGATCAGTCATTGCAAATTGGGAAATACTATTTGTGACACTATTTATTGACGAACGTGACAAAATTTATCATAGAAATATTTAACAATATCGTTTGTTAATCTGTGTTAAACCTAGGTTAGATCTGCGTTAGGTGTGGGTTAGGTTAGGTTAGGTACGTCGATATTATGTTCACGTAAATTCGTATAGTTGAAAGGAATACATCAAAATTTAATTGGTCAGTCTCTATTACGTTTAATTCAGTGTTAGGTCTATGTTAGGTCTAAGTTAGGTTTAGGTTAGGTATATCAATATTACACTAAACAACGTAAATTAATATAAGTGAACGTAAATATTAATTCAGGAGAATATTTAAACGTTTTATTTGTTAGTTCGAGTCCTGCATTAGGTTATCTCTGTTAGGTCTAGGTTATGTCCGAGTTAGCGTTATAACGCCTTCGCCGATGAACGCAAAACTGATTACAACTGCACAAGAGTATTTAGGACACTGTTATACAGCATGAAAGGAAACCCAGTCTGCTTGCAGAAACGCAAAAAAACGAATTCCGTCGGTAAAAATGGCCGGTTTACACGGGGAACGAAATGGAAATATGTGAATCCAGATGGAAGGGATTGGCCAGGCGAAAGGAGAATAAAGATAGTACGAGAAAGTCCCGGCAACGTGTATCGAAAAAGGATAACCGAAGGATAGAATGAAAATCTATTTCTCTGTTATAAAAAAAAAAAGAAGGAAAAATGGAAAAACGAGGAATGGAAGTAGAAAATCGAAAAGGTCCGGCGTACTGTACAACCGTTATTCGACAGGCAAAATGGGGACAGGCGAAAAACATAAATCGAAGGATTATTTGATTTACATGGAAGGGAAACGGTGGATCGAGTTTTAAATTTGGACAAACAACGAGTCACAGGGGATGCACGTTTGGAGATTACTCGATTAAAGATTCTCCCGATTAAATATTTGTAATTCATACATTTGAAACGGTTACGCGAAACCTGTAAATCAGTGGTAGATGATCTTTCATCGCGTCATCGGATTATTTGCGCTCGCAGACCCGTTCGATACTCATTTTCCAAATTTTTTGTTAAACGTCGCCATTTCGCGAACAATAAATACAAAATTTGCCGGTAAACGAACCGTGAAACGTTTCATTGGAGAGCGGACGCCGTTGTACGCGTTATTAAAAATTTGGAACGAGATTATAAAGGAATTTTTGTTAGGGTAATTGTTTTCGACGCGATTGTTCGTAAATAACAGAAGAGCTTTGAAAATCGCGTTTAAGCCTCGTTTCGACGGATTGAACGCGTTCCAGTCGCGACAGAAATATAAAATCTCATGGATCCCATATAAATCACGTACGAAGCTTCATCCCGAAATCTCGTACGTGAGAGATTTGATAATTCCTTTTTTACTTGCCACCAAAATTTTAAGTCCGGCATCTGCCCTACGATTACAGTCGCGCGTTTGCCTCTCTCTCTTTTACGAAAGGATGAAAAATCAGTACAGCGAAAGAATAAATACACTGCTGGATGAATTACGACGGTATAATTGTGAAATTTATTCTATTCATGGTTCTTGCTGGCTCGCAAATATTGTTCTTGAGTGAAATATGCGTGGCTATGATTCTTTGTAGGTGTGCAAAAATATGGGACTTTACAGGTATCTGGGCTTTTTTGTCGATTGTAGCTTCAGAATAATGTAGTAGTTGAATTAACAAATTTTGGAATTAGGGATTTTGGGATATGGGGATTTTGGGATATGGGGATTTTGGGATATGGGGATTTTGGGATATGGGGATTTTGGGATATGGGGATTTTGGGATATGGGGATTTTGGGATATGGGGATTTTGGGATATAGGGATTTGGGATGTAGGGATTTTGGGATCTTGGGATATAGGGATTTTGGGATGTAGGAATTTTGGGATATGGGGATTTTGGGATATGGGGATTTTGGGATATGGGGTTTTTTGGGATGTAGAGATTTTGGGATATGGGGATTTTGCAATATGGGAATTTTTGGGATATAGAGATTTTGGGATATGGGGATTTTGGGATATAGGGATTTTGGGATATAGGGATTTTGGTATATGGGGATCATGGGATATGGGGATTTTGCGATATGGGGATTTTGGGATGTAGGAATTTTGGGATATAGGGATTTTGGGATGTAGAAATTTTGGTATATAGGAATTTCGAGATAGTAGTATTTTGATAATATAGAGATTTTGGAGTATAGGGATTTTGAAATATAGAAATTTTTAGATATAGGAATTTTGGGGTATAGGAATTTTGGAATATAGGGATTTCAGTATATGGGGATACTGGTACATGTCGACTTCGAAACATAGTGACTTTGGAATATGGGGATTTTTCGAGACCGTAATTCTGAGACATGGAAATTTTTTATATAAATATTTGCAGTTGTAGAGATTTTGAAACCACGATAATCATGAAACAAACGCTTTGAGGCCACGCGCCCATTGAATCTTAAAAACTTGAAGCATTCCTACCATAATACCATAAACCCTTAAGGCCATGATATCATGAAATCTTGTAGCTTGAGGCCTCAAAATAATAGAATCTGCATTTTGAGGC